TGTGGCTGCTCCCATCTTCACGGCAACTTCATCTGGGATTCACATCCGCCTCTTCAGCCATTGAGTGACTGTGGAGGATGTTACTGCTGCACATGTACTCTGGAGTGTCTGGGCACCTTGCTCTATTGTCGGCAACAGGTTGTGTACACTAGAAAATGAATTTCGAGGAGAAAGACAAAAAGGTTTTTGCCAGAAGAAGCATGCAAAGTCTCTTCTGGTAAAAGGCTATTTTTAAAAACATTTTTGGAGTAAAGTTCCACTTTAAACACCCACAATATTCATTCTTAGTCAGAGACCATATGGTCTAGGCAACTTAGGCTGCCCACACTAAAAGCAAAAGTAAAAACTTAAAAAATTAAAAAACATGCTAATTATTCCGGGTCAAACTATACAGTTCACAGTCCACAACTCTAAGCTGATACCTTCTAATGTGGGTTAATCCACATTTAAGTCTTTCAGCTAGTGTTAGACCTGTGGTAGAGGAGACATTAGCCTGAGGAAGCCTTTTCAGGTAAAACCTGAGTCAGAATAGATGTGATAATGGAATATGTTTTACCTATTTTATGTAAGTGGATTACATTTTTATCATTTGGTACTCTGGGTCTGCACTATTTGTTCTGTGAGTCCACTCTCAGTGGTCAGCTGAGAAGTTTATCCAACTGTGAGGGAGAGCGGATTTGGTCTTTACAAAAAAAACAGCAACACAGTTGATAGTTAACATTGTGTTACACCAGGAATTAATTTGTAGCATTTGTATTATAGCATCATATTGAACTACTTGGATATCAGTGTCTTATAAGTATTCTTTTGGGGAATTTGTGCCAGAGACATCACCTTCAGAATCGGTTTCATTTTTGCTAGCCTGTGCCAGAGACATCACCTACAACTTGGAGTACAAATTTGGACTAGAATGTCAGACTACAAACAAAGCTAAGATTGAAGAAGAGCTTCATATCACATGTATAGGCGCCAAACGTCAGACTCCAGACCTTACTTGGGTTTCCATAACAGACAAACACTATTGGACAACTATCTGTCCTGACCATGTAGATCATCAGTGAGAACATAAACTTTCATGATTTGTATCGGTGTACTGTGCATTGTGATAATCCTCCTGCAGAGAAGACCTTTAAAATCATAGTTTATTGTAATTTGTAAGTTCTGTAATTTGTAAGGTATGGAAATCATTGCAAGTACACAAATGCCTATGTGTATTCCACACAGATGAAAATATGAAAGAGTATGTGAAATTAGAGCCACCTGTTGTGGAACGCATCCAACATTTAGCTGTCAGCCACCGAGTGGTGTATAGAGTATGTATATATAGTATATGTATATATATATATATATCAGTCATCATCATATATAACATAGCAAGCTTAAACCTGAAGATGGAGAACTTCATTAAAAGGTTATAGTAAAAGTAATTCACGAGGAAACATCTGCTTAAATGGTTCCTGCACTTCCTGCTCAATGTCATTTTTTGTGGGTACCGATGCAAAGCTTAAAAATAAACTGCCAGTAAAGGTAAAGAGTGTGGTTATGTTGTGTAATTTCTCCTTTGTAAACTTGAAAAAGATAAAGCCTATACCCTGGCAAGGAGTTACATGAATTGTTTTATCCTGTTTGAACATAACATGTCTACATTTCAGAATATTTTTAAACCATGTCTACCGCATGCTCATATGGTAATCTATGCTCATATAACGATATAACTATATGCTCATATAACTGTGCACATATGACAAGCTGCATACATATGTGTGGGTATATTATGGAATTCCCATTGTATCAAGGTATGTTAGCTTTTAACAATCAGCTGGCATTTTTTATTTAACCTGCACTTTAAATTGGAAAATTTGTTAGCTGGGTTTTGGTTGATACGGGCAACATCTACACTTATATTAGTTTTTTTTCTAGTTTTTATGGGTAAGGCTCATGGTATAAAGTTTGACTGAGAGAATAAGTAATAAATATGGGGTATGAGAGATAAAATGTGAAGCTGAACAGTGATTTCAAGAAGATGCCATTGACTATAAAAAGAAAGAAATCTATGCCCGTGGTTCTCAACTGGTGGGTTGCGACCCAAAAGGGGATCGCAACCCTGTATTAAGATGGTCACCGCGTGTTTTCCACTTTGCTAGGTGAGAGGCTCCTTAGCCTCCCCCTAGCTTAGCACTGTCAGTTATTTTGCTGAACAGCCATTCAAAATATGCTGCCCAGCGCCGAGTGTCAGCTTGAGGTGGGGTGGGCTAGGGGTATGGCCGCGAGGGAGCTCCATCCATACGTGCATTTGTTACAGCTCCCTCGCTTGCCCTGTGGAGGTGCCTGGACCACAGTGACGCCACATTCTGGTTCCTGGCACCTCTACAGGGCACACAAGGGGTTGTGACTCAATGACCGAGGACAAATGTGGGTCCTGAGGTTACGCAGGTTGGGAACCACTTATCTATGCAACTCAACCTCAGTTCAGCTCTAAGGAAAATCAAAGTTTTATAAGCACTGACCTGGACAATCAAAGTTTTTAATTTTTGTTTAATCAATTTCACTCATTTTTTGCTAGTGTATTTACTATTTTTCTATTCACTTCAACATCAAACTTTTGGTTTACAGTTTAAAATATTAACAAAACATTTTGGATTTTGTGATACAATGCAATCTTAGGAAAATAAAAGCTATTTGCCTCACTTTGTCAAAAAATCTTAACATTTAAAACAAAAACTAACTGAAACTTAATCCAAGCAACACAACAACATTAATGCCAAACACCACTGGGAATACTTACCTCCAGATGGACCTCTTAACCAGAACCATTTTCTTATATGGTTTACTATGAAATAATATATGAAATCACAAAGTATACAATAGAGCACGATAAACAATAATCTGAAATTTATATATATGAAAGAGTTTCCTTTAGTTTAACCATTTTCATATGAATCCACTGTACACATACAGTACAGTGGGTATATCCATTATATACACATGCATTGTTATGTAGAAAGATGTCACTGTCAGACTAGACATCAATAAAGATGATACTAGTGAAAAGTATTCAAAGTGTATGTATAGTCAAACCTTTATTTAGTTTTAGAAAGAATGGTTAAAGGGTAAAACCTCTATCAGTTTATTTTCCTCCACTTGCTGTCCTGGAGATGCATCAAGAAGTAAAATCTCTACAAAGTTAGGAAATTCTCATCTTATGCTGGCCATTCTCTGGTCATTTATTCTTGTTCAGCCTCACAGACTGAAGAAGTGGCTGGAGTGTCGCTGTTAGAATACCCATAGGGTTATTCACAATAGGGTGAAGAGTTTGGAGAAGGCAGGAGAAGTGAACAATCCAGGACAACGTAGCTGAACTGGAAAGTGAACGGAATTGGAGAATATTTCAAAATCAGCTATTTTGTCCTAGATTGTTCACTTCTCCTGCCTTCTCCAAGCTCTTCACCCGTTAGTGGATAACCCTGCCAGTGTCTGCAGCTGACTGGCTGCAATCACTGTTCAGCCGAGATTTTTCAGACCACCTCAAAGGTGGAAGCGATGCCAACGGGGCCACACAATGCTCTAATTTCTGCTTACTCAGCTAAAATTTAAACAGTGTATGGCCAGCTTTAGTTGCCACCAGAACAATTGTTCTTTCTATAGTTTTTATTATATATGTACATAGTGGCAGCCATATTTGCTCACTGCATACACAGGTCCTGCTTTGCAGTGCTACATAGTGGTTGTGCTTTTCTGCTCTTCCTTGCAGTGCAAGTCAATGAATCGGCTGACCCAATGAAATCAGTGCACTATTGAAATAGGAAATCAGCCAGACAGGGAATTATGCCCTTTGTGGCTGATATCTTATCCAGACAGATGAAAATCAATTGGGTAGACTCAGTAATGTAGTAGATCAGTTATCCTATATATAGTGGCTAATCTACAAACCTGTACATACAGTATAATAAAAGAGGAAGAGACGTCATGGGAAACACACATCTACAGTTATGTAAACACTGCAATAGTAGCTCAAAATACATAATGGAAATGCACTAGCTTAGTCTATGGCAATGTTGGCACCTATGTACATTTTTCATCTCACCCACTATATAAGAAACATAAAAATCACACAATGCCAAATCTCATTGAGGGGAATATATCAAAACTGGAGTAGAATAAATCTGGAGCAGCTGTGCATTTTGTCTGCGCCAGTGTCAGTATCTGTGTTAGTATTCGGGGCATTTTCACGAGTACAGGTACTTGTGAAAATGCCCAATATTGGCACAAATTGGTGCATCCCTAGAATATATATATAAAAAATATATAGTTATAGGAGGGAGCTGGGAGGAGGCAGATGAGAGGATGTTACTTTTATGGGTGAAGGTTCGCTTTAAGAAATAACGCTAACATATACAACAAGAACAGTTGGTGAGGCTAATAATTCTAACCTGTGCTAATCATTGTGTTTTACTGCTACATTGTGATGTTGTTCATTCATTGGGGATTATGCAGCAAGTTTTCATAAGAACATCCATTAATCTATTTAAAATAAAATAGCGTGGGATCTTTACGTTGTAAACTTTCACTGTTGCAAATAATTTTTTTCTTCTTTTCAAAGAACTGCAAATCATTTTTTATTTATTTTATTGTGACTGGTACAACATAGCTACAGCTTGCCCTAAGCAGTTCACTGATCTTGCAGCATGATGTCATGCTATGACTCCTCATGTACAGTAGGTGGTAGCATTGTGGCTCTTGAGGACCACTTTTAAAAAAATGTGAATTCCCCTAAACAGGAATCCCCTCCTTCTGGTACATATAAAGCAGCTGTTTGTGATGTCTGTTACTCAGTTCAGGACAAGCAGCATCTACTACTAAGCACAAATATACTCTCCATTATCACTACTGGAATTTAGAGCTTCAAGAGAAATCCTGGGATTTGCAGTCTTCCATAAGGATAAAGGAATATTAATAATCTAATTGAAACAACTTGCTATTTTAAGCACCGTCACAGGACCTTGGACACAAAGATCTTTTAAAGAGACTGTAACCCTTATACTCTCCGTTAAAGCCGGACCCTAATTATGTCTGGCGGTCTGGGAACACCAACTGTGACAATAGTCATAGGATATATCATCTATTTACAGGTCATATTCACACATGGTAAGATAGTTGTATATTAGTGGAAATTGTGCATTTTTGTTTTATATTGCCTTGGCTATTAAGAGCTGCAGTCTTCCTATCAAGATAAACTGAAGATTTTATTGATTACTTTATCAATATAGAGTTCATGATTTCAATATATTTTAAGATTTTTTAAATACTTGATCAATATGAAAGTCATGATTTCACTAATATTTTTAAGAGGACACAACATTGGTGGGATACCGCTATTGTCTTTATAGATACATTGTTTTGCATAAAATGTTAAATGTCTATTGTGCTGCTTACTGATGCTTTTTGTACATTTTTTAAATACTTGATCAATATGAAGGTCATGATTTCAATATTATTTGGTAAGAGAACAGCACATTGTTGGCCTACCTCTATTGTCTATATCGCCTTGTTTCAGAACGTCCTCAGTCAAAATACTTGAATCCTTTAAGAAAACATAACACACAGTTTGTTGTATGAATATCAGCAATCATGTGAAAAATGCTTTCTGATTAGTGTAGAATGTAATGTCTTTTGTTTAAATATTGGAAGAGTTAAAGTGTAATCCTAACCATTTGTATTCCATTGTCTTATTCTGGCACAATGGCAGATTGCTGCCATGTCCCTTGTTTGTGACAGATGATGTGGCTTGTGTACCTAACTAGCTCATTGTGTCTTCCACAGGCTATGCCAAAAACATCACCCTTATAAGTACTCAGTCTATAATCACATCTCAGATTGGGGAAGAGCTTCGTATTACTTGTCTAGGCACCAAATGTCAGAATCCAGACTTCATCTGGGCTGCCCTGAGTGACAATCCATTACGTGGTACAATCAACAATAATGGACAAATATCTGTCCTCACCATGAAGATCAGCAGTGAGAACCTTGACTCATATGATTCCTATCGGTGCACCGTGAGTTGTGATAATCCTCCTGCGGAAAAAGGCTTTAAAATCATAGTTTACTGTAAGTGTTAACTACAAACTTAATTCAATGACTGCAAGTACACAAATACTTATGTTTCAGGGGGCTGGGGGATAGAAGACCCTTTTGAAAATATTCTACAAAGGGTCTTGAGCAGGACTGTATGTCCAAGCAAGAGGAGTTCGTTATGTCCAATGTTTTGGTGGATCGCAGTCCATCTTTGTTGAGGACTGCGAAGCATTGATATGTTGGACACAGTAAACTCCTCCTGCTTGGACATACAGTCCTCCTCAGTATCCATGATTGCCTCTACTACTTTCCATTTATTTACTGGTGTTACTTTGCTGCAGTGCATTTGGACAGATACCCCCTGGACAGTGTTCACAGACTTCCAATGGAATTTGTGTGCTATTAAAGAATATGTGGAATTAGTGGCTCCTGTTGCAGAATCCCTCTAAATTTTTATCTGTCAATTACCATTCTGCAGATCAGTCATCATCATTCATGACAGCTGTAGCTGGGGATCTCTTTCAATGGGTTATAGCAGAAGTAATAATGTGGAAACATCTGTCTTTAACATTCAGTGCTCTTTCCGCACACTGCGTGTTATATTGTAGGTACTGCTGCAATGCTTAAATAAACCGCCAGTAACGGTATAGGGTGTGGTTATAACAGACATCGTGTTGTGTAACTTCTCCTTTGTAAAATTTAAACCCATGAAGCCTTACCCAGCTTAGGAGTGATATAAGCCTAACCTGTTTAGTCCTGATAGTACATAGTAGGGGGAATTTATTAAAACTGGAGCAGATAGGATCTGGAGCAGTTGTCCAAAGTAACCAATTAGATTATTTTTTTTGTTTGATCAGTTAAGCTTTGAAAATAAAAGATAGCAGCCAATTGGTTGCCATGGGCAACTGCTCCAGTTTTGAACAAAGTATCTAGACTGCATAATATTTTAATGTCATATACATGGTTAAACAATTCTCATATGAAATCTATGTGCTGTCTCTTGGGTGTTTGCAGAATTTCCATGTCACCAAGATATGTTAGACTGGAGAAAAGTAAGACTGTAGCTTATGGCAATCAATCAGCTGTAATTTTTTAATACACTGTACTAGAAGAATTGTGAGCTGGATTTTGAATTCTACGGGCAACAGTTACCCCTTTCTACTCAAGTTTTTATGGATGAGGCTCTTAGCATGTAGCTTTAACTATCAGATGTTCTTTAGCTACTTGAGTTTACCAGGATATTGAAAGGCTGACTAACCATTGCATTATATGTCTTATTACAGCATTCCCTGAACCCATCCTGACCATCTCATCTCTTATGGCTGGAGAACAGTCACACATCGCCTGTACTATTCCTGATGCCTATCCATTTTACATGTTTAATGCTCGGATCTTGGTAGGAGAGAAGATTGTGGCTGAGTATAAGGTCCCAGAGACAGATGACTTCCATGTAGTGAAAAATATCAGCCTATCTCATGATTTAATGCTGACTGATGAATATGAGGCCAAAGAAGTAAAATGTGAAGCTGACCTACAATTTCAGGAAGAAGAAGACAAAGAAATTGCTCCTATAAATCGGAATACAACTGTGTACCTCAGCCTTCTATGTGAGTAACCAAGAGAAGTCATTTTTCAAAGAGCATGTATAAGGAGTGTACATAAACATTATCTATGATTGATAGAGCAAATAACCATGTTTCAATTTCTCATCTACTTTAAACAAATTTAAATTATTGTGCAACATTAACACTAAGTAACACAGACAATTTCTCAACTAAGAACAGGTAAAAGTAAACTATACCTGCACGTACAAAGACCTGGGGATCAGCGAAGGTGAACGCAGATTGTAAACTGTACTGACCTCTAGGTTCCCTACCTGTCCCAATGTAATCTACGTCCACCTTCTGGGTCTTCTCTGGGTGTCAAGAATCAGGAGATGACTTGGCACTGAGGAGGTGATGACAAAAGATGTGAAGTGGATCACACCAAAACTTGCAAAGAGCCAATCCAGTGGGGATTTTGAGCAAAGTCATGTACTTTACATGCGCCAGTCATCTTATCTGATTGTCTATGTGTAACTGAAAGTGGAGTTGCCTTTTAAAGCTTGTAACAGTATTTCACAATCTTATACAACTATTTACACTTTTTTTTTCTCTCCTCAGATCCTCCAGGAAAACCAGTTATTACAGTTTACCCTGACACAAATGTATTTGCAGCAGAAAACATCTCTCTGTCTTGTACATATGAAAGTAGATCCCCAGCTAATGTAAAATGGGTGAAACTGGATAAGGAGAAGGAACTGGTGATGTCCCATGACCAGGGAATTCTGGCAATTCCACATGCAGAGCAAGAAGATAGTGGGGTGTACATCTGCCGTGTGCAAAACAATGTAGGAACAACATCTTCGGAAGTGCAGATCACTGTACAAGGTAAGACAGGAACTGGGATAACTTCTGCTTTTATCTTTGCTTAATGTTCCTACTATTTTGTAGCAGGTTGGATATTGAATAGGCTTAATAGACCAGAGCCTACAAGTAGCATCAAGATGGCTTTCTTGCACAAGTAACAGGGATGATATTCAATTCACAATTGTTATATGTTATAAAGTCTGTTATTTCCAGCCAAGGGAACTAAAAGCGCTGAAAGTAACAGTCACAAGGTTGCAAATAATGACCATTATGGCACATAACCCATGGCCTATAAAATAAAAACAATTCTTTCCCCCAGATTTCATGTAATAGGATGAAATCTGGGGGAAAGAAAAGTATTTATACTGATAAATAGGCCCCTAGAGTGTCATTAGAGTGCCATTTTATAATATATCTCAAAGACTTATGCCAGATTCACACTTCCATGTCATGTTAACCCATGTAACATGGGTAACCTGCATTGCAGTGCTATTCATTTTGAATGGCAACCCAACACACTAAGACAACACACATGTGTTGTAGTGTTCCGCAATGCACTGTAGAAAAAAGGGTCATGTGTGATTTTAAGCTTGTAGATGCATTGGCAGCACAATAAATGTAAATGGGCTGCATTAATGCAATGCACAATAATGCTCAAGGACAAAGATGTGAATGGGCCCTCAAAGTGTATCTAAAACCAAAACGTTTTTCTTAGTTTTGGATAAAGTGGTGAGGGTTTAAAACTTCTGTGAAGTTATTATTGCTGTCTATATCCAATCCAATTAAGTATATCAATATTTATATGTTTTCTAGCTGTTCCAGAAAAGCCTAAGTTGACCATCTATCCCACAACCATAGTGCAAGCCGGAAAACCTGTTACAATTGACTGCTCACCTAATGGCAATCAAAATGTGAATGTTACCTTGTGGAAGGTTTTAAAAGATGGTGATACTCCCCTTCTAGGAGCCAAAGGAAAATTAGTCATAAAAGAAGCAGACCCTATAGACACCGCTGTATACAAGTGCATTGCTGAAAATGATTATGGAGCTAGTGAAGTTTCAGAATTACTCATAGTGGAATGTAAGTATTGTTCATTCATACATAGGAGACCTATAAACATGTGATTGATGTGTGTTGACTGCTTAGGACTATAACTTTTGAAGTTGTTATATTGTGAGTATAACCAAGACTTGTGTGCATATTTCAGTGACTGACATCACTGGGAGCATCTTAGTAAATTTATATAAACATTGGCATTGCCATCAAATTGGCTGCCCTGATAAGAAATAAGTAAAACCTGTTCAGTTAAGCCATTGAAAGGAGATGTAGCATCAGTGCAGTTAGATGCAGCAGCTCATGCCCACGTTGATGCACACAGACCATTAATACTGGTTATTACTCACTTGTATTGAGACTCTTGGCTTAATACACTGTTAGTAAAGAGTGCCAGGCTGTGATAATCATCTTTTCTACAATCACTCCATTATGAGCCATTTCACAGCACAGTATTACTGCAACACATTTGAGACACCGGACACTTTTATACACTGTGGCATCATTAGTGTGCTATGCTTGGCTGCCTAAATACAGGTTTACCAAATCTGGCTGAGATTAAATATTTGCTTTTGCTGTTAATATTCTAATTATCAGACTAGTTACAACCATCATTTCATTCAATTAAATTTATAACTGTCCATTCATCTAACTCTTTGATTTCATACTATTCAGAATCACCTAGTATCACACATTAGGATTATTAGAATTACAAACTTCTACCTTTGATGTCTGTACATGAGTGACTCCATAGGCACACAATAAACTGTATCAGTCATTCTCATGAGAAAATAATCTTTCATTCTGCCATTCTCTTTAGTAAGATCAAGTTCATAATAGAATGTAAACATAGGAATGTTATAGGTTTTCACTCCAATACAGTTCTTAGTATTGTGTACACACAAAATTGTGTTGATAAGGGTCAAAGACAAAGCTATTGGACGCCTTTTGGAATCTGAACATTTACCTGGAGAGGTGAAGGTCATGTACAATATTGTATGAAGGAAACACTGAGGACTGTGTTAAGGTTACATATGTTCTAAGAGTATTGTGCAAGACATATGTCAAGCAGTCTAGTGTGCCCTTTGGAGAGTTTTGTCTTCTTGCCTCTACTTTAGCGTACGGAGCTGATCTTGTAAAATGTGTAACAGTTTTATATAAATGGTGTTTGAATACTTCTCTTAGAAAGTATAAGATGTTGCTCAATCATCTATATTTTTTCCTTCAGATCCTCCAATGGAAACTGCTTTTACCGCTTCTGATGAGGAAGTGTATGAAGGGAATGAAATCACTCTGACATGTGCCTCCAAGGGAGCCCCTGAACCTAGCTTCTACCTGTATCATCTGTTGCCATCAGGGGACAGAGTTCTGCTATCTGAAGGTCCAGAGGTCACGCTGACAAATGTGACTGGTGGGGTGTATCAGTGTGAAGCCAGAAACTCACTGGGCAGCCAGAAGGAGAAACTGGAGCTCATACTGCAATGTGAGTAGTGGCAGTGGTAATCCCAATAACCATCTAAGCTAACCTTATGGTAGCAATCATTCTACTTTCTGTTGAGTGGCTATTTACGTTAAACAATTAGACAGATGTGTTTTAAACACAATCATTTACCTAATAGGTTGGTGCAGGCTATTACCTTTATATGTAAAAGTGCAACAGTTTAAAAACAAGTTTGTGACTTTGTGATGATTCATGACATGCACTCTTTAAAGTGGACCTTCACCGTCTCCACCCACTTTCCCTCATTGTATTCCTGACCTCCTCCTCTTTTAGAATAGGATTTTTACCCCCCCCCATGTATTTTTTAATGGGACCCCCTGGTACTTTCTGGATTATCCCCTAGGCAAAAATGACGTCCCAGCCACCCACAGCCTCCTGGGATACTGAGGTCACTTATTCCAGAAGGCCTTGAGGTGCTCTTTGGCACACGTACCACTGCTTGGTTGCTTTATCAGGGGGCTGTTTGTCTCTTCCTAGTTCTTGCAGTCAGCCCCCAGAAGATGTGCATACATTGCAGCACATTATCAGGGGCCAGCTGCAAAACTCTAGAAGAGACTGCCAGCCCTTTCTGCCGGCTGCAAGAACCTGGAAGAGACACATAATAGCACGGAACCTGGAGTGCGGCGGCGGATTGGTGGATTGAAACAGGACCACGCTAGGTTTATGTGGATGTGTGAGTATGTAATTTGATGACAATCCAGCGAATAAGGTGAATGGGGAAAAAAACATGGGGAGGGTGGTGAAGTTCCTCTTTAACAATGCTTATGTTACAGTTAGAGATATTTGCTAACATAAAGATATCAAAAATTATTGCACATTTGTCAGTTGTATCATTTGCATATGACAGACACAGATGATATTAACCAGTTGTGGTTTAGTGAGTAAGTTGTACCTGTTAGTACAAAGCTATGCCTGTTTACATACAATTAAACCACTTCAAGGTGCACGCAGAACCTCTTTTCTGTATGGGTACTTTGACCAAAACCATTTCTGACTATACAAACACATTTCTTCCCAACAGTATTTCGTATTAACATGTATTTGCTCTTTTAACAGTTCCACCTGAAAACACATTTCTAACCATCACTCCATCTTTGGTGACGAGAGGGGAGAGTGTACATATCAGGTGCACATCAGAAGCTTTTCCTGCCCCCAGGCTGGTGTTGAAGAAGCAGACAAAGACAGGCCTGATGGAGTTAGAAGCTGAGGATGGGCAGTATAGTATTACACACATGACAGAAGATCAAGCAGGGACTTATATATGTGAGGCCTCAAATGTGGTGGGACTGCAAGATGCTGAGGCTACTGTAACTGTACAAGGTGGGTCCTAAACACAATCTGTTACTGCTTTAGCTTTACTATAGCTTATTTAAAGTGTATATAAACCCTAACATTGAACTTATCTTATTTGGTCCCAACATACTATTGAAAGCATTTTATTGTATCTGTGCAACAAGAAAAAAAAATTAATGTTGATCTTGCCAGAAATTCAGTGAGCTCCTAATTTCCTATAGTAACCTAACAATGCTGCACTAAAATCTAAAATGTTGTTGCCTGCCTGCCCTGCCCGTTTCCCCTCCATAAGCTATAACCTTCCCTCCACCTATGATACACAGATGAAGAGAGGGGGAGATGTTCTGTATTTCAAAATCACTTGTTATTCTAGGGTGACAATGTATGCCCCTCCATGGATATAGTACATTGAGTGGGCATTGTCACCATAGGACAGAATTTATTTTACTGGCAGAATCTCCACAGGCCCGGCGCTACCACAACGCAAGTCAGGCGGCTGCCTGAGGGCGCTGCAGGGTGAGGGCTACTTGTAGAATCTCCAGGCGAAAATAAAGAAAAAAAGCCTGAAAAAAGATAACTAATGCACCACATTTAAGGACTGATAACCTATAATATACACGTTTTTGTTCTTGGGTTTAGATACAATTTAAACCTGAACTCCAGGACACTGTGTATCTAAATACACAGATAAGATACATATATGGGGGCTGTTTACCTGCCAAAGGATTTGTACTTATATCTATTTAGTTATGAGATTTAACACAGCTCTTCCACACAGCACAACCAGAAGGATCACACTATTTTCTCTGTTACAATTACCTGGCATCTGCCTGCCACAGCCAGCTGAATGGACAGAGAAGGGGCAGCACCAGATTGATAAAGTTATTCCTCTACTTTTTCCTGTCTTTTATGAGCATATTTGTAAACGGCTCAGCTTATTGGCTTCCACTGATGCCCATCTAAGTCTTGGAGTAAAGTGGATTAAAAGGGCCTACCATCAAATCAGGGCAAGTTGTGGCACTAATGTTAGTTGCATTTAAGAAATAAATGCAATGATTTGTTAATACATATAGAGCTGCAATTTTACCAGTTCACCCAGTTATGAATTGTTCATGAAGATTGAAAAAATTACTGTGTGAAACAACTATTTCATATTTCCTGACCTCTACTGACTACTCAAACAACAGAAAAAGTTTAAACTTTCAACTTCACTTTTATTTCAAATATTTTTTTCTTTTCATTCAACAGTTCCACCCAAGAATACACATATAACCATCACACCCCCAGCAGGGGTTAGAGAGGGAGATTTCATAGACATCAGATGTAGTTCCGAAGCTTCTCCTGCTCCCAGACTTGTTCTGAAGGTGAAGACAGAACATGGTGTACGAGAGCTGGTATCGGAGGGTGGACAATCCCAAATTGAACATGCTGCTATAACACACAGTGGAACATACATCTGTGAATCTACAAACGTTGCAGGACAGCAAATAGTGGAGACCACACTGACCATACAAGGTGAGAAAGAAAGAAGACAAACATTATAACTACCTATTCAATAAATCAGTGCCAAAAGTTAGATCATTTTAATAAAGTTATAAGGGTTCAAACCAGATTTTATTTTACAGAAGGCGAATGACAGAAGGGTGACATATGATGCAGTAGGTTTTTGTGGGTAACTGCACTTTGTATATTTTGTTTGTAGTCTTTTTGGCCTAAAAAGCAGCAATGAGGGCTAGATCCTCAATTTTTGTGAGCTTTTAAAGATAGCATATAACATACACTAACCAGTGCTTAACGTGTGGGACAACACTTTAAGCTATAGAGGTTCTTCTGTGGTTAACGTGTATTTTTTTCCCTTACAGTTCCACCCAAAAAAACTGTTTTGACTATCAGCCCTTCGCCATTGTTGAAAGAAGGAGAGAGTGGATATGTTAGGTGCACATCAGAAGCTTTTCCTGCCCCCAGATTGGTGCTAAAGAAGAAGACAGAGGCCGGCCTGATTGAGCTAGAAATGGAGAATGGGGAGTACAGTATTACACAAGTTGGAGTACAGCATGCAGGCACATATTTATGTGAATCCACAAATGAAGCTGGACAGCAAACAGCTGAGACCACACTCATTGTACAAGGTGAGAAGAGAACATGTATCATTTATTCAGATGCTTTTTTAGCTCTTGTGTCTTGTCAGCCTGTTCTGGTATTTAGTTTGCAGTAAAACATTGACGGATGGAGGTGACATTGCCTCACTTATTTTTTATGTTTTTGCTTCTTGTAACATCTTGTGGTTATTACTCCAACAATATTTTATGTTTAAACCTTTTAAACCTTTGTTTTTTCACAGCGCCACCCAAAAACACTTTGATATCAATCACTCCATCTTCAGTGGTGAAAGAGGGGGAGGATGTACAGATCCAGTGTTTATCTGAAGCATATCCTTCCCCAAAGCTTGTCCTCTTGCTAAAGACAAAACATGGCCTCATTAGCCAGTTGGAATCTGATGATGGATTGTACAATATCACAAATGCAGGAGAGAAGAATATGGGGACATACATCTGTGAATCTACAAATGTGATCGGACAGCAAACAGCAGAGGCCACGCTGACTGTACAAAGTGAGTACCATGTAAATGGCATACCATTCTAACATTTATCAATGTGTTATGAAACTCTAAATGATATACAAACTTGTGTACCGTTTGAAATGGAATTTCATAGGTTGACTCAACCCAATCAATGATTTTAAATTATGGGTGGATGCTGGGGGTTGAATCACTCACATTGTAATGACCCCAGTAAGTGTATGTAGCTGTTGTCGAGAACCTGGATATATTCTGTATAACAAGCTGGTAGGTATTAAAAATTAGCATCTACCCACATTTGAAATATTAGTTATGGATGGACTGAACCTTTAAGGTTGTAGGGTAAATGATACAACCCTTTAAGATGTAACCTTGTGCATAATTAACCTCAAAATTCTCTTCCAGTTCCACCACGAAAAACCACAATTGTGACTCCATCACAGAACATCACAGCAGGTGTTACTGTCACTATCACTTATGATACCCACATCATCCCACCTCCAGGTGAGAAGTGCCTTAAAGAGCTTCTTTTATGGCTTCCTTCCTAAGAATCCACTCTAAGTGCTATTAATACACTGCTTTGCTGGCTTTTTTATTAGAATAGAAAGAGGAGAGCCCACACACAGGAAACTATGAATAATTCTAGAAGCTCAATCTGAGAAACTGTTTAGAGAACATCTGCTAGAGCTTTGTTTAAAGGCACACGTGTAACACAGGAAGACGTGAGCAGGGCTACAGTTAGTGAGAGAATTCTCTCAAGCTGCATAGTAAATCCTCAGTTAGCCTGCACTGCCATATAAATTATTGGTTCTGTGACCTTTTCTAAAACATTTTTGCTCTTTGCTTCTGCTTTCTTTCTTTGCTGCAGACAGTGAGACTTCTTTAGCACCAGTTAAATAAACTCAGCAATGCAGGAGCCATTATACTAGTTTCAAGTATATTTAATTTGATGTGGTTTCAGTTAATGGATTATCCCCATCACTTGGGGGAAATACGCTGGCCAGGCGCCGTTCACACAGATCTAACTCTATTAGATGGTGCTGAGGAGCAAATTCCAAAGTTCTTCAGTGCCATCTAGGGACACTAGTGCTATGTGAATGGAATCTGCCCAGTGTATAATTCAGCCCCTTAGGGTCAAAGGGCAACAAACTGGAACCTGTTTTCTGATTCCAGTGAGCATTGGATATACAGTATGGCTGTCTAGTCAAGTGTCTGTTCTTTGCATGTCTGGCAATCAGTTTCCTAAAAAAATAAAAAATAAAAAATAATGTATGTGAATAGTTTAGAAGTCAGGTTATTCTTCAAATGCAAATTGCACTGATGAAAGTAATACTTTTAAAGCTTGCTAAATGCTTGATGAAGCCTGCTACAAACATGTTTAAAGCATTACTATTAAATTCACTATTCAACATTTCAGCACTGGATTGAAGGATGTTATCAGGTTTTCATGAAAGCTGCTTTTAAGATGCTTCGTCAATGCTTGTGAATGTTTGCTGAAACTATTGCTTATCAGACTAGCATTTCTCATTCCAATGCCTGCTTGAACTAGGCCTAAGTGTTAAGGCCGTGACACACTGCAGGCGAAGCGGTGGCGCGCTGCCTTTGCAGTGTGTCATGTCATTTTATTCTGGGCACCTCAGCTGGCGAGAGCTCGCGGAGCTGAGCGTGCCGAGATGAACAATTTCAACTTCAGCCAATCGGCTGGCGCGACGGGATGCGACGTTTGGCCGGTTGTTAAGCACGAGCCAATTGGCTGAAGGTGCAGTCAATCATCAGCTCACACACTGCACGCAAAGCTCCGTGCCGGATAGCTTTGCTTCGCTCTGCACGGCTTCGCGTGCAGTGTGTCACGACCTTTATGTTGTTTATGGTTAGTACTTAAAGTGCAACTGAAGCCAATTTCTAATTCAATTGGTGCAGTTGCCCATAGCAACCAATCAGCTTCTATATTCCATTTTTTCAACACACCTTAGAAAATTAAATGTAGAAGCTCATTGGCTGAACTCAAGTTCAGACACAGTTTGTCTCAGCTGCTTTTTATTAATTCCCCCAATTGTTCTAAACTGATCATACATTAACATTTGTACACACTGCTTTCTATTTCAAATCTATAACCTGTACTATCTGCTGTAGCTTCCTGTCTTTAATTGCAGAAATCAGCAATAATTTTGTCAAATATATGTTTGCTTGGTTTTCAGTGGTCCTATATCACATATTTTATTTTTGTTTCTTTCATTATAACCAAAAAATGCTTTTGAAAAATAAGGCTTAAGTTACAGACTGTCATCCTATTCTGGGAGTGTGTGTAGACAACTGCACAGATTCCCATGATGCATATAACTAGTGAACCTGACCTCGCTTTCTCTCTATAGAACCAGCATCTGTTGTTGTGCCAATGAATGCAATCCATTACTCTTTGGCCTTGTTCCTGTCAATCTTTCTCACCACCCCCCAACTTGTCTCTATTGCAGAGCGACAGCAAAGCTCAAGATTTGACTACGTGCCACCAGCGATCATTGGATCTGTAGTCCTTTTAACAGCTGGCTTTATAGGAACAATTGCTTATCATCTTAAGCAGGCGAAGGTCCAAGGATCCTACAGCTTGGTCAAAGCATTGAGGAGCAAAGTATGACTTTAAAAAACTGAATTTCTTGGACATCTTTAGATGCAGAGTGATATCATTACAATACTGTTAAAAAGGACCACAGCCTATGGCAGAAAAAGTGCCAAATCTGCAAAATGTTCAGAGTCCTTTTGTGCAATTCAAAATGCACCTGTGCTGGCCGCAGCTTTGCCTAGTGGTACATAAAATGAACAGGGATGCAGTTATCATAGACACATCTGTAAATAAAGACAAAGACTATAAAAGACAATTATTTAAGAGAGCAAATATCTCTCAACTGAAACCGAATGGAACCAACTTGTCAAAAATCACTGTTTGCACTTAGCTTTTCTATCCTGTATATATTTTTTGTATATGTGTTTTATATGTTCCTAGCTGGCTGTATTTAATTTAATAATATCTAGTCAATTTGGTCCTGACTGTCCTGCCTCCATGTTCATGTGTTTGTTTTATACGCGGTGGAGATGTGGTACGTGAGCTGAATCTTAATTTGCCCCTTTAACTCCAGAGGACTGGCTGATTCAATGGCTGTTGGCATTGAATGAAAGAGCTGAATATTTAGGAGGATCAAACCCAGAAGGGATAGAATGGGAATTATGTCACCAGGGGTGCAAAGGGAGAAGAAATTACTGTGGATGATTTATTATGCTTGTTTGGTATACAAAAGAATTCCCTTGAAAAAGCTGTACATTGTACTAGGACAGGGCACTATGAAGTATGGTTTTCTTGAACTACATCGTAATAATTTATAAAGCTTTACAAAAGATTTTGGTTATATTCTTATGGTAAAAGTATAGTGTATTTTTAGTGAACACATATTTTTGGCAATTATTGCAATGTCTACTTTACAGTAATTTTTTATATAACTTTCACCATTTTTTAAGATTGCTCTTCCATATCTATTGTATTATAAATAGAGCTTTAAAGATGAGCTACTAGGTGGAGCTCCCAGAGACTGTGTAATAAGATATCGAATACAGAGCGGGTGATTTGTTGTTCAGTTAGATTCTCATCCATGCTAAGGCTACATTCAAATGCATTGTAAAATTGACTCTTGTCAAACTGGGTTCTGCAGGCAGGGTCACCCACAGTTCGATTTTCAGCCAATTCAGGAGAAAGCAGATGAGTGTTAATCTATGGGCAGTCAGTTTAACTTTGAGAGAAGGAGCAGTAAGACACAAACATTGTACTACATTGCAAATGAGAAAGTACAGTGTACAGTACATATGTAATGATCAAATATATAAGATACAAGATACATAAAGTACAGTGTACTTTTAGATCTGACCAATGTTTTCTCATCTCAAACTAGAAAGAATATATATATCCCTTTTAAATCCAGCTCTCTTTTTTAGGAAAGGATGCAGGTCAGTGAAATTACCAACTCCGCTCATAATATTTATCTGCCTTGTTAAAATGGTCACAGTAGGATTGTACAATCTCCATTATATTTACCAACATCTACAGTAAACTCCCAGTTATCCGGCACCCATGGGGATCGGTAGGTTCTGGTTAACTGTAGTTAAATATTATCTCTCAAGCAAACCCCCCCCCCGTCCTGTCCCGTGGCCCCATTTACCTGCTCTAGTAGCTGCCAGGAGAATGTAAGCAGCCGGGAGCAATAGCCAAACTACTAGCAGGCCGTCTATTGAAACCCCAACTACTGAGAAGGGGAGCAGAGCTGAAAGATTCTCTCTCAGGTCTGCTCCTCTGCTCAGTGGGAGGGTACAATAGCCAGCCTGCTATTGGCTATTGCTATTCAAAATAGCCAATAGCAGGCTGGCTATTGCCCCTCATTGTTTACATTGTGCTACACACAGCAGAATCTAGCCACTGGCAGGCAGCAAGATGTAAACAAAGAATTTAGTTAGCAACGAAATAAATACATTTAGCTGCTAATGAAATTTTCTAGTGTACACCAAGCGACCGACAATTTTTTTGTGTGCATCAAGCCAGCGGCAAAAAAACCTGAGGAATTCCTAGACTTGTTTTGCCGGTTGCTGGAGAGTGCCCGTTGCTTGAATGCCGGATAATGGGGAGTTTACTCTGTATAGTACAAGGACTTACCTGACTCAATGGATTGTTTAGGTAGGCCCTCGCACTACATATAGGATTATATACAGATTAAATTGGAAGGTGTGTGACCAAAATTATACATGTAGATCTACTCAAAGTGTCATGCCAAATGGAAAAAGTAAAATTCTGTGCGTTGCCTTGGAGAAACTGTACACTTGTGAGACCTAATCTCCTACAGTGTGAAAAAAGAGGTGGTCCACTTATGTGCATGGAAATTTAAAAAACCTTACATGCACAATTATATTAAAATTGAGTTCATTTTACTTCACCTAACATAAATAAGGTTCATGAAATGCTTTGTCCATGTATAATTGTATACTCTATAATGCTTAAAGGAGAACTATGGGGCAACCTTTTTTTGCCCATAGTTGCCTTCAGGGTCAAGGAGGACATATACTGTGTTCTCCGGTGACCCAAAACTCAGTATATGGCAGGCAATTGCCCACTATATGCTGAAAGGGCAGCTGGGATGGATCCTGAAAATACTGTCGAGAGCCACCCCCTGGCTGATTGACAGCTGGCTCTGCGGCCCCTCCCGCATTCGTTCCTCCAGTCACTGCTGGAGTAACGGAGAGGGGAGCGGGGAATCTCTGCAGGGAGCAGGGACTCTAACAAGTAAGTGAAGAGGAGATTTCTACTTCTTGTTATGTCTCCAGGATAGGTAGTCAATGGAATTCTCCCCACACAGACATCCAAAAAAAAACCTGAGGTGGGATTTAGGAACTCCTTACTCTATTCAAAACTACAAAACAATTTTGAAAAACATTTCAACTAGAAATACACGTTAAAGTACCTCTATCCCAAGGCACTGACTAGAATTGTTGATACCAGTTGCAGACAGTTAATGCCAACACACTCTTAAGCTGGCCATAAACCTTCAGATTATGGCCATCATTAATCGATTCCCCCATCCACGCTAAACAGTGTGGATGAAGGATTCCCCCCTGCCATCTACTGTATTCAGCACTGGGTTGGACACACCGCTGCTGAATACCCCAACAGTGGCTGAATCTCTTTGGTCGTAGTCACTGTTCAGCTGACAGATGGTGCTGATTTGGCTACCCACAGCTTTAATTTCAATTGGTTTAGCGAGAACTATCCTAAATTCAAGCAGTTACAACCCCCTCTAGAGCACAGCCTCAAATTGCCCAAAGTGTTGGCTCTTACTGAATGCCAAGTCTGGCTCCACAGTGTAATTATATTGCATGTATTGGCAGTCAGAAATCCTGAAGCCTAAGAGAGGTTATGTTTTTGATAGATGTGTTTAAATGCCCATACAGATCATTGAAACAAAATTCAGTTAAATACTATAAATTGTTGATTTTACCATCATGTCATTTCAAATTGACTAAGGAAAGAAAATTATGCTTTGACCGCATCTGAATGTGAGGTGGCTTACTGCTTGTAATATTTACAAGGTAATTTACCAAATCAAATTTCATTATGAACAGCAATGCTACATCTGTTTTCTATAAAATAGCTCCTGATTCATTAAATGGTCAGGATTTACAATAATGCATGGACTTGTAGAAAGAATAATCTGGTTTACGCAGGAGGACAATGAGACATAGATTAGATGTTTATTCATTTCTTTAGCCTTTATTTCTAATACATATCAATGAACCGGAGATAGAACTATGAGCACAGGTATATAATGAATGGTTAAAAAGCATGATTATACTGTTGTTATGTTCAATTATTCAGAGCTTAGATGTCGAAAAGAGAAATATCAGTGTTTTTTCATAGTCCTGGATTTCACCAACACAGTATATATTATGATATCCATAACTGAATATTATACTGAAATGTAAAGTATACAGACCACTGGTATATACGTGTTTTATATACAATACAACATAACAAATTACAAGATGTCAGAACCAAAGATTGCTTAAGCACTGAGTATATTTCAATTCTGGATAGTGTACATAACACACGGTTTATAAGCACATTAATCATGGAATGGACGTAGGAATCCTATAGCATTGTACATGAAAGTGCATGGGTACCGCTAGCACTGGATTATTGAAAGTAACCTAGGCTAGATATATGGGAGATAATATTTCTTACATATTTTAAATTTTGGTTTATGTCTCTGTACTTAATATTCACATTTTTTTCTTAACTGCTGCTGATTTGCAATAAGTTTGTGCTTAATCATTGTCTGTACACCAGTTGTATTCACGATTGCTGCAGAGATTCACTAGTTAGCAAAATTAGGATAAGCATTAAAGCCTCATGAGATATACTTTTGGAAAAAAAGTCAGAAAAGCTGATCCCATATTTCTATTAGTACAAGTTCCCTTGGAGCTGTACTTGTTACCTAAAAATAGTGGAGGCATATTTTTATGGGTTTCTCTTAATCCACATTTAGGGGGATACATTCCTTGGTGGGATTACCATCTCTTAAATTAGTTTATTGAATGGCTCCCTTCATGTAAATGACAGGTACACATTGAAGAAGTGTCCAGAGAGCTCTCTAGTAGCCAGCAATGAGAATTATAGAGACAATCTGCAGGCAGAGAAATGGTTATCTGGAAATTGTAAACTAAAGGATACTATTCTCTCATTCTCAATAATTAGCAATATGTAAACCTTGATGTCTTTATAAGGTCTTCTGGTTTTTATACCTGAAAAGTTTTGTTCACATGATAATTGTTTCTATTAAATAAGAACAAAAATTATAACATGTTACTTTTTAAATGTGTCCCTTTCCTAATTTTTAGCTTACTATCCATTATATATATTTTATTTTAACCAGTTGACATCCGCGGTGTTAAACCCCCTTCCCATCCAGGCTATTTTTCAGTATTCAGCGCTGCGGTACTTTAACTGACATTTATTCCGTCATGCAGCGCTGTACTGAAATGAATTTTATACCCTTTTTTGGGGACAGATAGAGCTTTCTTTTGGTGGTATTTATTCACCACTGGGGGTTTTATTTTTTTACTATATTAAGGAAAAATTACCGATAGGCTGTTTAGTTCCAACACCAGTCAAACACATATCACGAGGTACGGACTCATGCTAATGCACCCCTGGCAGGGACCCTAAGCTTGCCCTAGTGTTCTCATGCTGGAATGCACTGGACTTTCTTTACAAAACAGGTAGAACCCTTGCACCTATAATAGACTGAACGGAGAACCCAGTGTGCTGTATATAGCACCTAAGTATCTTTTGGATTAGGCACTTATGGAAGAGATAATAAATACATTGAGCTAATAAATAAATTGAAGTACTGTACACATGTCTGTTTAGAATAGTCCTGATGATACCACATTTCTATGATATTCCCAAGATACATAAAAATGTCTGACGAGTAATTTATGAATTATTTATTACAAGATTTGGTAGTACAATTGCCCTATTATTTTAGAGATTGCAGTCACATGCTTGATATTTTATTGCAGTATAGAAGAAAACCAGATGTGTCATTGTTATATATTTCTAACAGACATAAATTTGGCCTTCAGGTAGTTTTTTGGGGATAGAATACCAATATACATTATAATAAGCCTCCTTCATCTTGAATAGCACGGAATTTACTTT